TTAGGAGCTCAGCCTCTGGGCCTGAATCTGGCCCTGGCCCTAGAAGCGTGTACCTGGCCACAAAACGGACAACAGTACACCCGTTAGAAAAACAGCAGCAAATAAATAAAATAMAGACTATAAAAATAATCTAAAGCTGGCGTTTTTCTGATGCAGGCCCAAGTAAAAACGCCATAGGGCCTTCAGGTTGCGGTGACGCGACCTGGGGGCCCTATTCCAACCTCGGGTCCCGTGAGGGGCCCGTGTGTAGGCTTTCAGCATGTAACACATATGACATACGGGAGAGGAGGAGAAGAGAGATGTGGCGGCGGAGGAGGAGGAGGACAGATATATGGTTGAGGCGGAGGAGGACAGAGATATGGCGGCGGTGGCAGAGGAGGAGAGAGATAGGGTGGCGGCGGCAGAGGAGGAGAGAGATATGGTGGCGGCGGAGTAGAAGGAGGACGAGGAGGAGGAAGAGGAGGAGGAGGAGGAGGAATACAAGGAGGAGGAGGAGGATGAAGGAGAAGAGGAGGAGGACGAAGGAGAAGAGGAGGAGGACGAAGGAGAAGAGGAGGAGGACGACGAGGAGGAAGAGGACGAGGAGGAGGATGATGAGGAGGAGGAGGACGACGACAACGAAGGAGAAGAGGAGGAGGAGGAGGACGACGGTGAAGGAGAAGAGGAGGAGGAGGAGGAGGACGGTGACGAAGGTCATTATGCCGCGGGAGGAGAGGGGGCAAGAGGAGGAGGAAGAAGAGGAGGAGGAGGAGGGAGAGGAGGAGGCTGATAATGGGGCGCTGCCAAAAAAGGGGTGCCACATCGCACCTTTTTACGGGACGAGCAGGATGAGGAGGAGGAAGAACACGAGGAGGAGGAGGAGGACTCGAGGAGGAGAAAGACAAGAAGAGGACGAGGAAGGAGAACAGGTGAAAAGGAGAACTTCAAGGAGGAGAGAGAGAAATATGGCCGAGAAGAACGAGGAGGAGAGACTCGGATATGGCGGAGAAGGAGGAAAAGGAAGAAGGACAAGAGGTGGAGGAAGAATAACCGGTGGAAGAGGAGGAGGAGGGGGAGAGATATGGAGGAGAAGGAGGAGGAGGAGGAGGAGATAGATATGGCGGAGGAGGAAGAGGAAGAGGAGGAGGAGAAAGAAGAAGGAAAAGAAGAGGAGGAAGGAGGAAGCGATGGAGGAGTGGTAGGTGCATGGGTTGGGGGCATGGGGCATGTTTCTTTTTTTTTCTTAGCTTTCAATCAATCAATCAATCAATCAATCAATCAATCAATCAGTCAACCACTCAATTAATCAATCAATCAATCAATCGATCAATCATTCAATGAAACTACCTGCCAAAGATCGGTGGCAGGTAGTTACCTTGGTTGATCAATTGATTGATTGATTGATTGATTGATTGATTGATTGATTGATTGACTGATTGATTGATAGATAGATTGATAGATTGATTGATTGATTGATTGATTGATTGATTGATTGATTGATTTAAAGCTAAAAAAATACAAAAACATGCCCGATGCTCCCAACCCACATTAAAAAAGTCGGGCGAGGGGGCGGCGGCGGAGGAGGAGGAGGAGAGAGATATGGTGGCAGTGGGGGAGGAGGACACATGGCGGAGGCGGCGGAGAAGGAGGAGAGGAGGACACATATGGCAGACGAGAGAGGAGGAGGAGAGAGATGTGGCACCTGCGGAGGAGGACAGAGATAAGGTTGCGGTGGAGGAGGAGGACAAAGATATGGCGGCGACGGCGGAGGAGGAGAGAGATATGG